GGTTCGTTGACACCCTTAGATCTCACCTTAGAAAGCGAGCACCAAACGACTATAATAAAAGAACAAGTTATGGAAGCCAAGCACAGGAGTCACGAAATCTTTGAAGCTGGGTCGTTGACACCCCTAGATCTCACCTTAGAAAACGAGCACCAAATGACTATAATTCAATAACAAGTTATGGAAGCCAAGCACAAGAGTCACGAAATCTTTGCGTGCATGGATCGTATAGATGCTCTGCATCAGTAGTAATTCGTAGATCATTTCCACAGATAACAAAATCTGTTGAAAATCATATCTGGAAGAAAACTAAAGGGCAGCTTGAGGAGTTAGTGATACAAGAAAAAATGAAGGTTGCTGTTGCTTCTGGTTTAGCCAAATACTCATCCAACTGACCGTTAGTGTTGGTGCATTCTCAAACCCTTGCTTCAGTATTGGTTGGACACTGCTGATTTTTATATAAGTCACTGCTGAGTAACATGAAGATGTAGTAAATAAATGATAAAACTTGGTCGAGATCAATGTACTATTAATTTTTGAAAATGCAGAGTTACCTTTATATGAAAAAAATATCACGAGTATCTTTGTATTTGATTTTATCATTAAGGACAAATTGGTTTTGATGTCCCAGAAGTTGACAACAAAAATGTGCTGGTAAAAAAGTGGATCAACTTTCAATTATAGAGCAAAAAAGCTAATAAAGTTGCATATTTTGAATTAAAAAAATAAATAATGTTTCTAAATGGTATAAAGTCTTTTAGGAGTAAAATAATCATTGATCACTGCCAATGCTTATTGGATTATGAAATTACACAGTTATTGGATATAGTAACTAGATCTATGCAGCATAAAGTGCTTATTGGATTATGACAAGATTACACAGTTACATGCAAATAGAGAATGATCACAGAAAAACCATAGAACTAGTCATTATAGACCCGTTGAGTGACCACAATGGGACTCCTGACTGTGTGCTTGCCATTTTCCTCAACCCAAGTGAGTGAACCATGATTAATAGCAGTCTCACTATAACTCCGATAACGGATGGTCAAAGAATAGCTCTGCTTCTCATACTTCTTTTGGAAGACCAACGTTTTCGGGAATACTGTGATTGTAGATTCCTTTGGCTGTTTAACTTTAAGTTTATATGTTGCTGCACCATTCCCTACATTTGTAACAGTCCTCTGGAATTTCTGAGTCAATATAGTTCTATTTTCTTGAACATCGTATAGAGCAATGAATGATGGGTAATTCAGGTCAGAAGATGGATTTGAGCAATTGTAGCTTGATCTTAAGATTGATTGAGTTTGTTCACGAGTAAAATTCATAGAACAGACAAGGTTTACATAGTCAAGCAGGGTGGCATCATAAATAAGACCTGGATCAAGGGCACGATTTGGATCAACTTGTCCTGCCCCCATGTCGAGTGGTGTAGCAACTTCATAATTGTTTCCCATGTCCTTGATGGGTTTCTGAGTGTTATCAAGTTGATTTGCGGTTGTCATCATGGCGGATCGAATAGCTGCAGGACTCCAATCGGGATGCGCAGCTTTCAAGAGTGCAGCAATTCCAGATATATGAGGACAAGCCATTGATGTACCTGACAAGAGTGTGTAGTCACTGGACAAGAATATGTTGTTACCAATTCTCGCCACATTAGTATAAGGATAGTAGGCTGCTAAGATTAACACTCCTGGTGCCATTATATCGGGCTTCAGGATGCCTGGGTAGCTTCGTCCAGGACCTCTAGATGAGGATCCCGATACAGCTGGAGCAGGTCTGGGCTCTGTTCCCAAGATTGTTTGTTGGAATTCGATGCTTGCTTTTGGGGCAGCATTGTTAGATGCATAATCGATCACATCTTTCGCATCTTTTGGGGTGATTACCACTCCTGGGTAGGGAAAAGTATTTGATCTAAGTATACTAGTATCTTCGGAAATGATTATGGCTGCACGAACATTGGACTCCGACAGATACCGCCATAGGAAAAAGAAGTCCGTTGTTTCATCAGATTGGGTACATATGATGATACCACCTTCAGGGGCTTCAGACAATAATTCAGTTGAATTGCAGGCAGATAAGGTCTCATTGTAAGTGAGAGTCAAGTTTCTGACTGTGGCTCTAGCAGGAAACAAGCTCCATCCGGTGATGGACAAACCATTCCCTAGAGTTAATATCCCGGCAAACCAACGATCAACAGTTCCCGAAGCCACTAATACTGCCCAGGGGATTCCTTTTATCAAAGTTCCGAAATCTGGTCCGCGATTTCCTGCTGAAGTAGAAACAAAGATTCCCTTCTCTGTGGCACCGAAGGCAGCTATGGCAATAGGATCCTCATACAAATTAGTTCTACCGTAACTCAGAGAAATTGACAGTATATCAACTCCATCAGCCACGGCCTGGTCAATTCCTGCGATAGCATCAGATTCATAGCTTCCTTCATTCCAGAGGACTTTATATGCAGCAAGCCTAGCACGTGGAGCCACTCCTCTTGCTGTTCCTGAAGCATAGCCGAAGAATGAAACACCATCCACATAGTTTCCAGCGGCGGTGGATGCCACGTGGGTGCCATGACCATAATCATCCCTTGCAGAATTCATCGTTATTGTAACTCCGGGATTTACTTCCCGAACTGCCTGATTGAAGTATCTTGCTCCAATGAGTTTCTTGTTACACAATGAAGAATTGAACTCTTCACCTGCCTGGCAAAATCCCTTCCACCTCGCCGGAATTTCTGTCATTCCATCATCTTTAAAGCTCGGACTTTCTGGCCACACTCCGCTGTCAATAATACCAATAATCACATCTTTACCAAACTCAGATGCTGGCCATATGCCCGTGGCAGTATTCAGAGAAAGAAACTTGTAAGTATGGGTGGTGTCGGGCATGACAATACCATCTGGATATGCTGATAGGAACCCTGGGGACTTCTTCAAAGCTTCCAAATCATCTGTTGACAGTACAGCACTGAATCCATGAAAGGCGTGGTCATATGTATATACAAGCTTTGGTGAATGATTTTGACCATCCAATGAGGTGAATCCAACTGATTCGATGGATTGAAGAGTGGAAGAGTACCAATAATGGTGACTGGAAAAAGCCTTAGGCATCAAAGATTTGTCCATATGGACAATGTAAGTAGATCTTTCTGCCGAAGCCAGCAAAAACCACGAGCAGAGGAGGATTGTGAAGGCCTTTATCAGCCCCATTTTTCTTTTTTCTGGAAAGGAGTTGTTTCTGCTACATCAGAAGCTCATTTTATGATAGTAAACGGTAAACATTGGCGACTTGAAATGAATTGTCCACTTTCTGTTTAAATATTACACCTTGTCTTCTTCGAACGTGGCTGTCATTTTCCATTACAAAACAAAATACTTTGAGCTGTAAAGAATCAAACCTCATTACCTGTTTTCAATCAATGCGCGAGTTTTGTTTGGTTTGTTTTTAATAATGAATAGGACTGCTATTGATATTGAAGCTTTGTAATAGGCCATCTATATTTTCACTAAAGAGTGAAACCCCATGTACTGAAAGAATTCCACAGAAGTAAATCAAAATACTCACAAATGAGTGGGCCCAACCATGTGTTTAAAAAATAAAATAAAATGTGCGGGACCCACACTTGAAAGTGTTATGGTAAATTTCCGTGCTTTCTGTACATCTAGCAAAATTCTTACATTTTTTTGCTTCTTTAGAATTATGCTATTTGTACATAAAAATAGTGCATAAAGGATTACATAAAATGACGTGAAGAGAAAAAATTAGATAAAAAGTTAACCATATTTTAAACTTAGTGTAAATGAAAGAGTGTACAAATGGCAAAATTCTAGCTACGTTGAGTCGGAAGAAGGAATGTTGGCAATTGATATGTAGCGGTGGCTGAGTGGATTTTATCGTATTATATATTCACCAATTTCTGAATTAAGAAAAATATTATTTCAACTGAATTAGATAAATTTAATTAGAAGTAAATAAAAGCTAATAGTGTCAATTATAAGTAAAGAATACTTATTAACTTAAAATTCGAGTTATGTGAAACTGCTCTATGTCCTTTTAGCGGGCTGAGCCCTAACCGGCCCACAAAAATATGCTCAAGCCCGGGGACTAACTCGCGACCTGGAATAAAATATGCTTTGGTATGAAATGATTTTTTTTTCCCTTAACATTCAAATGAACTAACTAATCAAAATAATTTCAATTATTGTACCTAATAAAAATTAATTTTAAAACCTTCTTAAAATTAACTTGTGTCACAACTGACTTTAAAGATGGCATATCTGCTTCTTTAAATTGTGACAGCCTAAGGGCTGGATCGAATTTTATATCTATCGTCTTGTGAACTGGTCCACTTGGATTACGGGCTAGTTCGTGAGTAATTTTTAACAGGCTGGTTCTAGGTGACCATGTCATGCCCATCCGATTTGATACCGCTATTTGGGAATATGCAAAGTCATCTTAAAAAATAAAAAATAAATATTGAATTCTCTCAAGTAACTTTACATAAATATTTTATTTCAGCAAACTTTTAATATAACATATCATATGGTTTTGCAATATACAAATAGATAGTAATATGAAGGGAAATTCCTTAAGATGGGACCAAAAAAATATGTAACTAATTATGTGAAATGTATTCTTATTGCGAAATGAAGGTTATTCCTATGTAGAGTATCATTATAGAGATGTTTTACTGTATAAGAAAAAAAATAATTATAAGTTAAAGAGTTCACTTATAGGTGAAAATTTTAATTCTAAATTAAAAAGCTTATGTATACATAAAAAAAAATTAATTATAAGTAAAAAATTACACATGTTAACGAATTGCTTATGAGTAAAAACTAACTTATAGGTTATAAAAATGCTTATATAAGTAGAAAAATCACTTATAGTTAAAAACAACTTCATAGCTAAAATATTTACTTATAAGTAAACATTCTTATAAGATAAAAATTCACTTATTTCCTGAAAATTTTATCTACAAGTAAAAAGTACTAATTATAACTAAAAAATTTACTTACACTTGTATGTAAAAAAAAAATACCACTTTTAATTAAATAAATCGATTCTCAATACTTACTTTAAAACTAGAAACTTATAAGTAAATATCCCTTGTAAGATAAAAATCACTTTTATGTAAAGAAATTGCTTCTAAATGAAAAATATTACTAAGAAATAAAAAATAAAAAAAATCACTTATAAGGCAAACATTCACTTATATATATGAAAAAAGAATGACTTATAAGTACTATATATATATATATACACACACACACACTTGTGCTATCTTCTAATACGATGTAGCACCAAATGTCGTATTAGAATAATTCTATCTAATCTATCTTAATAGATTTCTCCTAATCGTATCGTCCCTAATCATATCCCTTCTAATCATATCCACTAACATAATACAGTCAACACACGTGCCCTTAAAGATTGAACCTTGACATTTTGGAATCATTGCAAAAAGAAGTAATCCAACCCTTATGAATCGACCTCATCTTTAGCTGCTACCTTACCCCGAGAATCAAGCTTATCAAAATGCTCCAACTGAAGTGGTTGATGTTAAGACAGTAATGACCTTCAGTAGTGCTTCTTCCCCACTCTCGACATTAATAATTTAAACAAGCTAGCATTAGCAATTGGACGACTGTGTGTATAAAACACAAGTTAAATGTGGAAATGAGACTCCTTACAGTGTGCTTGCCTTTGTCTTCAACCCAAGTACTAGAATCCCACATTGTTTGGGAAAATATTAATGATCTACTTAATAAGGTGAGGGCAATCGTCCCCTAATGAGCCTGTTTTATTAGGTGGAGTTAGGCCCAATATTCCTAATATGGTATCATAGCTGCTTCGATCATAAACAAATTAACTTTTGAATTTCCTTTCCGGCGAGCGGCTCAAGGCCGCTCGTCCGGTTACCAATGTTGTTCTTTTCCCCTTTTGTGCTTTTTCTGTTGCTTAATATTACATAAGTGTGGTATCTGAATTTACATCGATCTTGCTCGTGCTCATGGTGATGGAGACGATTGCTTTCATAAAGGAATCCTGATCCTCATTGAATAGCAACTAGTGGTTGGAATTGGTTTAGTGATCCGGTTTATGCATGTCATATGCCTCCTTCATTATTGGGGGTTTGTCTACCGGAGGTCGTTTAATAATTGGATTGGTCACAAGCAGTTGAGTTAGCAAGAAAAAGAGAGTGATTTCTAGGTGTAAGTGATGATTAAAAATATACTCAATAGGCTCCCACGGAAACAGACCAAGTTAGGGGATAATCGTGATGGAGGATCCTCTACTTGCTCTTCAAATTCTTCTACTACTTCAAGAAGCAATTATTCTACAAACTCTCGGTTGGGAAATTCAAATGCTACATCTCTTTCAGGGATCAATCCAACTTGGGATTCTGGCCATACATCTACTTCAAAGGTGAATGGGAATGCAGTAGTTGCTTATGAGGCACTGTCTAGTTTTAAAGATGTTGCTAATTCCGAGAAGCAAAACTTGTTTATCAAAAAGCTGAATTTGGGTTGTGTGGTATTTGACTTCATTGACCCAACGAAGAACGTGAAAGAAAAACACATCAAGAAGCAGACATTGGTGGAGCTTGTTGATTACATTACTTCTGCAAATGGAAAATTCACAGAAACCGTTATGCAAGAGATTGTGAGAATGGTATCCATAAGTTTGTTCCGGGCGCTCTCTACTCAATCATGGTAGTTAGGGTTTTCACGAAAATTTGCATTTTGAAAGAAATTCAGAACTTTTGAAAAAAAATAAAAAAACTACGAACAGAGACTGATGATTTTTGGTTGATTGGAATTGGATTAGAGTCATGAATGGTGAAATTGTTTGGGTAGTAGTGGGCTTGAGTTTAATTTGGGCCAATAGTTTTAGTATTGGCAGTGGGCTATTGGTTTTGTGTTGACGTTGGACACTTGGACTTATGTTTATGGCTTGTGTTTTGATAAAAATAATTGGGCTTTTTATATTAGGTTTGCTATTTAGTGTGGACTGCTTTTGAGTGGTAATTTGTTTGGGTTGTAATCTAGTTTCTTTTGTGAGTTGGTTGTGTTTATTGGGGTGTTGGAATAATTGAGCCAATTATTTAATTGGTTTGATTTTATTGTGGATTGTTAGTTTGTGTGGGCTGAAAATTTTGATTTGGGTTATGGGTTTTTTGGGTATTCGATGTTTTGTTTTTGGGCCGCGAGAGTTGTTGTTGGTGGCTTTTGCTCGGAGTTGGGTCTTTTCTCCTCTTAAACTTGTTTGGAGTTTTTCTTTAAGCTTTTGGTTATAGTAGGTAATCTGGAATTTGGTCTAGTATATGCCCAGTTCATGGAATTGGAAATTTGGTTTGGTATATGCTCGGTTCACGGGATTGGGAATTTGGATTGGTATATGCCCGGTTCACGGGATTGAGAATTTGGTTTGGTATATGTCCAGTTTAACTGGAAATTGGTTTGGTACATGTCCAGTTCATTTGAAATTTGATTTGGTGTTGGTTCGGTGTATCCGAAATTTGAAATTTGCATCCAGTTCATTTGGTATTTGTGGAGCTGAAATTTGAAATTTGCATCGGTTTGGTTAGATTGGTGGATGATGATTTTTCATTATCATCAACTTTGAGTTCTTTGTTCGGCTTGGTTGACATACAAGCAATTTTGAAAACTTGATTTATGTAGACTATCACTATTTCCCTACCTTTTGTCTCTTCATAATTGCAGCTTGCTAACTTCTTCACGAAGTTACATCCGGTTCATCGTTTTCGTTTCTTCTTTGGCAAACTCTCGATACTTCTTGCAGCAGCATCATGAGTTTGAGGGGAGATGTTAAGAAATATAGGGTTATTTTATTTTATTGTTTATTAAGGGTAGAATAATCTTTTCAATTTTCTTTATTGAGCTTATATATAGTCTAGGTTAAATCATTCTTTTGTATTCAATTGCATTATGCAGAATTAATGAAATCTTCGCCTCCTTTTCTTTTTCTTTATTTCTTTGGATTGTTTAACATGGTATCTAAGCTAAGCCCAATTATGTAATGTTGGGTGCCACCCAATATCGATTTGTTCACAGTTGTTTGGCATGATCCATGCTGTGCGTGAGGGGGCGTATTAGAATCACACATTGTTTGGAAAAATATTAATGATCCACTTAATAAGGTGAGGGCAATTCTCCCCTAATAAGCCGGTTTTATTAGGTGGAGTTAGGCCCAATATTCCTAACACCAAGTGAAGTGAACCATCACAAATAACAGTCCTACTATAACTCCTAACCTTTCAAAGTTTAATTGAAAATGAACATGAATCTTTTAAAGAATCTATAAGTAGTAAAGATTTCAATCATTGACTTGTAGCAATGCAAGATGAAATGAAATCACTTAAAAGGAATAAAATATTGATTCTGACTAAAAGATTTGAAGGAAAAAATATTGTTGACTGTAAATGAATTTTTAAAATGAAAAGAGGAGAACAAAATGAGAATGACATCCGATACAAAGTCAGACTTGTGGCAAAATGCTTTACTCAAAAAGAGGGAATAAATTTCAAAAAAATCTCTTCTCCAATTGTATAATTTACAATTGTTAGAGTAATTTTAGCCTTAACAACACAGTATAACTAGGAATTGGATCAATTGGATGTAAAAGCAACTTTTTTAAATGGTGATCTTGATGAAATAATTTACATGGAACAATCCAAGGTTTTGAAGTAAACAAAAATTCCGACTTAGTATATCTTCTTAATTTTGTTTTATATATTTTTAAAACAAGCTCCAAAACAATGGTACAAGAGATTTGATATCTTTATACTTGAACTTGGTTTTAGAATTAGTAGTTTTAATACTTGTCTTTATTGCAGATGAAGTGGAGGTGAAAATTTACTTTATCTACTCATTTATGTAGAAGACATGCTTCTGGCCCGTCATGACCTAAATGAGATAAAGTTAATAAAAAACAAGTTTAAATTTGAATCTGAAATGAAGGAGTCAGGTCCTTTTAGAAAGATTTTAGGTATTGAAATAAAAAAAAAATAGAAGAGAAGGCATCTCAATCAAAAATCTTATGCTTTGAAACTATTGAAAAAGTTTGCTATGTCTGATGTTAAAAGTGTGAGTTTACCGTTAGCAAATCATTTCAAACTTTCAAATGAATAATGTTTCAAAACTGAAGAAGAGTTTAAGAGAATTGCAAAAGTGTCGTACTCTAATGTAGTTGGGTTTGTCATGTACCTAATGGTTTGCTCCAGACCTGATTTGGCATATTCATTAAGTGTATTGAGTAGAAATATGTCCTATCCTGGAGAAGCTCATTGGGAAGCTATGAAATGACTTCTTAGATACATTAAGGGAACTTGTGATTTGGGAATCCAATATAGAAAACAATCTGATAGTGTTATATTAAGGGGATAAACTGATTCTAACTATGAAGTGTAATGACCCGACCTCGCGCCAGAGCTGTTATCTTATCATACGCACTGTCCAGAACTGTTATCTTATCATACGTACTGTCCACTTTGGAAGGGTTTAGGCTCATCTTACCCCTCACGATTTTCTGACGCTTCCCCCAGGATTCGAACTCAAGACCTCCATCATATGAGGGGTAAGATGGGTCTAAGCCCCCCCAAAGCGGACAGTACATATGATATGATAACGGCTCCGGCGCGAGGTCGGGTCGTTACATGAAGGATGCAGTTTTTATGTGGAATGAACGCTTGAGATGTTGCCAAGTGTCAACCCAAATACTGTTGGATTGGTTGGCCTTCTAGTGGCTTGTTTTACCTAGTTCATTACCTAGGGTTTGAGATTGATTATTCATTCAATTCTCTCTGTCTCCGACTCTCGATGTTTCTCGCGTCTTTCTCACTCTAAAAATCTGAAAGTATTTTGTTCTTTTCAAACATTCTCAATGTAATACATTTATTGTGTGATCTGTATATTGAGGGTTTTGTGTAGTTATTGAGTGAACAACAGTTGTAATTGAAAGGCAGTTTTATGATGTAATCTTGAGTGATTATAGTTTGAGTGCCTGAATCTGTATCTTGGACAGTTTTGATTCTGATTTTCTTACGATGGTTTCTTCCATTGACAGAAGCTCAAGGGGTTTATGGTTTTATTGCCTAAGGGCATAATAATATTGAAGTTCATTTTACTTTTGAGTTTGATCTTTTAAGTTCTCTACCCTTTTTGTTGATACAACTGACTAATTGTTTGAACCTCATCATAACATCATATATTGAAGGAAAAATACATTCCAATTTCGTTGGATAATGTGACAGCGATCCTAATGCCATATTGATCAATGATGAGCACTCTAACTGAGTGACATTACTCTCAAACAAACTATCTACTTTCTGTAGAATTGTTACACCTTATCTTTTTCGTATGTGGCTGTCATTAATTGTCCGTTATTTAACATAATCCTTGAAGTGTAAAAAATCAAACCTAATTGTTGAACTAATTTTATTATAAATAGGAATGAATGTGTGTTAGGTGCTCATGGCTTATTGTCATCAGTGAGTAATGTTATAATTAAGTCTTTTATTCATTTTTAAAGTTTTTTTCATATTTTCTTCTTGGTATTAAAGCTATTGTGAGCACTCAGCATACCACAAGTCTTTTCTTCCACTATCATTTTACTATCCATAAATGTTAATAACTTCTTTACAATCATATCTCATTAATTCTCATCCATAAGATAAATCTCACCAAATCCAAACAAAACAATAGAAACAAAAAAATTCATACTAAAATTGACAAATAAGTTCAAGAACAGGTTGATCGTTTCACCAATGAAAATCTTGTGCCCACCAAATACATCACATCAAATCCAAACGATACAAAATAAATAAATAAATAAATAAAAATACACCAAAATTAACAAATGAATTCATTGCATGGTGGAAGTCTGATCATCCCATTCATGGTTTGATCATCGCAACAGTTTGAAGGAACCCTCGAACTTGTTATAGGCTTAGACACAACCTATGCAGTATGAGAAGCACTTGAAATGCTTATATACATAGGTGACATATATTCGCAAAAATGAAAATAAAAATCATTGTTGGCTTCTTCATCAAACCAATGTCATTAGTAGCTCTCAATTTTTCTAACCAAATTGTGTCTTCTGTCCCATCACAGTTTGCAGGAGGATATTAGAAACGTCACACAACTTGCCAATGAAAATGATGAAGATCAAAAGAGTGATGAGACCAGAAAATTTTGGAGCGATAAGATTGTCAAATTCAAATCAAAGGATAAATGCAAAGTTGTTAATGATTTGATAATCGTTATTATTATTATTATTTTTTTGGATAAACACTATTACAATAATAATGGAGAGTTGTTTAACTCATTTTATTATAAATATGTACTAGGTGCTCATAACCTACAATTATCGGTCAATAATGTTATAGTCAAATTTTTTATTCATTTGTAAAGTTCTTTTCTTATTTTCTTCTCTATTTAGCATCATTGCTGTTACACAACAGTTTATGTTACACTAAATTCATCAAATGAAAGATATAATTAAATAAATCACCAATTTCACCATTAATTGAACTTGTCATATATTGCCACAACATAGAGACTGATGTTTTAGCATCAGTGATATTAAATAACATTATTTTTATTTTTCTGCTTCGGCTACGGCATATTTGTGTCTATATGTCTGTGTTCACATTCTTGTGGCTTCGCAAAAAATTTAAATTTCTTAAGTTAGCCGCAAAACAGGTTTCCAAAAAGTCTAATAAAGTTAAGCGAAGTTCGGCAGATTAATCACAGTTAGAGGAAAATTTGTGCATTGGATCTTAATTTGGACCTTTACCTTTACATATTAGCACGTGTGTCCCTTTCGATTCAATCATGTTTTGCGGTGATATTTGTCAAATTAATTAAGTTAAATTTAGTTTTTAACTTGTAAGTAACTTTTAAGTTTAAATATTTGTCAAAATTTATAAAATCCTTCATATACATTTTTAATTTAAACAAATATCGTTTCTTTAGTTTGTAGTTTAATGAACAAAAATATATTAATTAATTTTTATTAACAAATACAAAATAATAAAATAATTATGGATAAATTTAAAGAATATTCCCGAACCTCCAAATCTTGTGAGGATAGAATTCCGAACTTTACATTGGGGGCACTCTGGTCTCTAATCTATGAAAAGTATGCCATCGTCAATTTGATTGTTAAATGTTAAAACTACTCATTATTTATTTAATTTGCTAGTTAAAATGAATCGAAATTTTTGTGCATGGTATCAAATCTCGAATGTGATCTCCACCTGAAAAGTCTCATGACCATAAAGAGGAGAAAGGGAGATTTCCTGTTACACGAATTATTGATCGTTAAGTTATATGAAATTGTGTTGATTAGTCCAGGTTCTGTTTGATATCCGCCTGGTTTTTTTTTTTTTAGGGAATACTTGAGGATGACGAGAATTGAGAAGTAGGAGCTAATGATAGGGTTGATGAGTTGATAATACGAGGATGAATGGGGCAAGGATTAAGGATGAAGATTAGGCAAGCAGCAGTGGGTACATACGATGCCAAGAAAACAACTACAAAAAAGTGGCTTCAGGAACGGATTTTCCGTAGCTGAAGCCACGATATCCATTGCTAATAGTCATAACCAATCGCAAATTCGTTGCTGTTTTGAGGGTATGTGATTTAAACACATACTGAATAAGTTAATTATGTGACCTCAAATCCGTTGCTATTCACGATATCCATTGATTTAAGATGCCATGATAGAAAAATATTTGATGTAAGTTCTCGTTATCAACAAATAAGAATAAAACCTTGTTTTAGTTTTTTTTTTCTTGTGTTAAAATATTAAAACATGAAAACTTAAACTTGAAGTATCAAAACACGGGCTTGGCTCGTGGGCGCAGAATCGAGCGGCCGAGCCGACGAGCCGTTCGGCTCGATTGACACCACTGAGCCTGAGAAGAGAAAAGGAATAGTGGAAATCCTTTTAACTATCCTCAATTTTCTTTAAAATCCACAGTTCCTTGTAAGTTGATTCTGTTAAAGTGGCTGCTTGTAGTGACTTCCCTACCTTTGTTTAATTACTGTATTTTCTTCAAACATAACTTACTCCTTATTTATTTAATCTGCCGGCTGTAATGGATCAAGTATCCTGTGTAAATAATCAAACTTGGAAAGTGATCTCCCCCTGAGATTTCTAGAGACCCTGAAGAGAAGA